AAACATGAGACCTCCAGGGTTTTATGATTATTTTTTTGTGATTTTTGCAATGAAAATCAAAGTGTTTGCAGTGCTAATTTGGAGATTTGCAATATTTTCTGTTATTTCATTTATATATGATGGTAAATGCCACTTTTTATTTAGGCCATGGACTTTAATCTGACATCAATTAAGGCTGAGGCAGCTGTTTAGTACAAGAAAAAGTTTTTGAGAAAAATCTGCAATAAACTCCGTTACGTATTAGTGCACAAAAGTGCAGGGCTTTGTTGATTTTATGTGAATTTCCACGATAATTCTCAAGAAACTGGAGGAACTGATTGATATTATTTGGCAATAAACATGAAATAGCATTGATTTGATAACATAATATTTAAGCACACTTAGTGTTTAGGGCCACATAAAAAACTACAGTGGGCCAGATTTGGCCCACGGGCCTCGAGTTTGACACATGTGGTGTAGAGTGAAATGTCAAGCATCTGCTTTCAAAGTGCACACACATTGAACACGTTTTTGACATGCATAATACGTCTAGTGTGAATGCACCATAATAACTTGTGCCCACAACGTAATGTCTCATGGGAACGACTTATTTCGTGAGAAAGACTTAATCATAAGTCATGTTTGTTCACACATTTGTTTTTGTTCGTCGTCTTTACCTTCCACGTCGTCAGGCTCTGTAAATGTATTTTATCTTCTTGCCTTATATGTTGACACCAGGCAGCACTGATCATCTGAACCAAAAGAGAACATCGGTCCCATGAATCTACCACACACTCACTTCCCACCGTTTGTCTGGGGAAACCTGATGATCACAGCTGGAGCGAGCAATGAATGAAACTTTCCCTCAACCCGCCGTTGGGACGTGTGTGTGTGTGTGTGGGTGTGCGAGTCAGTCAGCCAGCGCGGAAACCCAAACACTGGTTTAACTCGTGCTACAGTTTGTAGCCGAGGGGGGAAAAGGTGCAAATCTGGGAAAACATGGTCTGATCCGCTGCTTCTCGCTACTCAGAGCGAGGCGATTGCTGCTGAATATTTATGCGCAGTATCAAGTCAAATATTCATCAAGTGTCTGAGAATCCCTCTGAGCATTTCAGACGGTGGCATCTCCGTATCGGGAAGTGATAAATACAGTGCTGGCCCTTTCAGCAGCATTAACGGTACAGCAAAAACAAAAGCTAGTGGCTTAATCTTACACTCAAGATGTTTGTGGGGTTTTTTTTTTTTTAAACTTTAATTAGAATATATTTATTCAGAGTAAAAAAAAAATCCATAATAAGAAATAATTTCTTCTAGCAAAATCACAAACCGTTAAGTAACCCGGCTTTTCCAGTCCGCAGCACTTGATCCACCATGTTGGAGCATGCAGAGATAAATGTTTGACTATTCCTGTTGGAAGACCTCTACATCATTCAGAGTCCTTAGTTTCTATGGAAGAAGTTTGACTTTGTTTCCTCAGACTGGTTTCTTTGATGTTGCAGCCAAATGTTTTAGATCCAAGCACAATTAATTTCAAGGTTTCGGGTGGCGAAATGTTCTGGTGCTCTTCAAAAGTCTTCAGAACAGAAACAAACCCTCAGCATCACTCGTCCTTCACCGAGCTCAATTTTACTCTCATCAGACCAAAGTGTGCAGTTTCAGTTAAAGTCCTGGTATTATTTAAAAGAAAAATCCACCTTTACATATGTAACATGTGACAGAATAAAGGTTTGGGAGAGATTAGTACATGAACAGGGTCTAATGGTTGTCCTGGACACTGTGTGACCTCAAGATGCCGCTCTGATGCGGTTCACGTTCTGACCTGCTTAGTCCACTTTCATTGAACTCTGGTTCGTTTGCACAGAAAGTCCGAGGTGTGACGGCACAATCGAACTCGTGTCCGCCTAAAAACGTAGGTTTCGGTTGGGTTCAAACAAAGACCGCTCCAAAAACAAGAAGTGAACCTTACCACAAGGGATTCTGGGTAAATGCAACCAAAACAAAACGAGTCTAGCGCTAGTGGCTGAAACACTTTGTGGTCTTTTACCAAGAAAAAAAGGGAGAGAAATCCTACACCCACTAAAATCTGACGCACTCCATTTTGTTACATTTTGTGAAGAAGGACTTTGGGTCACTGAGGGTTTTGTGTCGTTTACTTCAATGGTTCAGTCAAGTCAAGCTTATGACTACTACAGTCTATGCTGAAGGCAAAGATTGCCCAATAGTTTGAAGAAGTAAGCCAGACATTTTTTTTTTTAAAGATGTCTTCTATGAAAGTATTGTTGAAGGGAAAACAAATGAATGAAAGAAGTTTAAGACTGAAATAAATGGCATTGAAAGCTCTGCTAAGGCAGGGTGGAAGTTTCAAAATTGAATTCATTGACCTTTTTCAGACGCTGAAAACCCCTGGCTGAAACACTGAAGCAATCTGATATTACAGAACTTTGTTGTCAGGTTTAATTTTTCAACCAGAAATGCATCAAGAAGTTGGCGACTGAAACTGGATGATCTTTGCTTTTGGCGGGGGGGAACTTTTCTCACACATACAGCAAGACATATATTGCAGTATTGAGATTGCATCTGGTTAATTAGACCAACATTTCTAAAATGTTTCCAGAATTCAAACATTTATGTCAAAATGACATCAGTCACACTTACCTGATGTACCTTTGCGCTTCAGTAACAATTGGTACCAGTGACCTGTACATACATCCCCAAATGATTCAGGCAACAGCAACATGAGGCAAGGCAGAATATAAGCAACGCAATGATTTAATCATGCGAGGGAACAATCATCAGCTGAATCAAACCGACTGCTTGACTTCCAACCATATTAATCTACTTTTTCCTCTATAGGGATTTAATAAATGTGCGAACCAAATGGTGTGAGTGTGACTTTCCATTTAAATCAAAGTTCTATTAAAAATTCCATTACTCTCAGACAAACTTGACTAAATCTGCTGCTCAATCATTGGCAAACTCTGGGGTTTAGGTGATGGGCTGTGGCTTCAAGTGAAACCTAGCAAGGATTTATTTGGTGGAGTACATTTGGGAACAAAAAGACTTTGGAGATTAAGGATAATAACTCGACTGTCGCCTCCATGTGAGAGTTTATGAAATAATGCGCTACCTCACAGTAGAGCTCAAACAGGACAAGGTTATTTCAGCTGTCTTTTTTTTTTCATCCAATGGGATAGCTTCATTGAGTGCATAACAACGGTGGAACAGCTAGTGTGTCTTTAATGTAACAAACGAGTCTAGCGCTAGTGGCTGAAACACTTTGTGGTCTTTTACCAAGAAAAAAAGGGAGAGAAATCCTACACCCACTATATATATATATATATATATATATATATATATATATATTATATATATATATATATTATATATATATATATATATATATATAGTAAAGCTTTCAGTTTGAGTAGTTAACGTAACTGTAGTTATGTTTGCATAGGTTTAGGCTGCGTGAAGACACACTGACTTCTTTACCTCACTCACTCTACTACTTTCTCTTATTCTTCTCCGATTACGCATCATCCGGACTATTACTGCCATTAGAGCTGCATTCTAATTAAAAAAGTTTTCTCATCATAAAAGTTAACATCTGCTCCAGCATTAATGGGTAGCAGTGAAACCGGCATGCAGGTGGCTGTGGGCTGACTTAATAGGAACAAAAACTTAATGATATCATTTGCATTGTCCTTTCACTGTTAACCCAGCACAAATCAAGCATTTACTATTTACCAGGGATGCACTGGTACCGATATCTGAGGTTTAGAAGGAGAAAAAGAGAGCTGAGCTGACCTAATTTTTTTTTGAATAACAGATTCACTTGATGACCCTGCACCAGAAGAGCACGCTCAAAATACACCAACAGCTTCACAAGCTTGGTCAAGCATAAAAATAACTTTCTGCTCTTACTGACTGGCAACAGCGTCACAGACACCCGATCTGGATTTATTTTGCCATATGATAAACTGAACTTAATCACCACATTGTTGTCCCTCAGTCGGGATGCATTTAGTTGAATATAAGTTCATCAATGCGATTCGATTGAGTGGAATGAATATTTCTGCATATCTATGTTGCAAAGTGCCTTGAGATGACCTCTGTTAGGAATCGGTGCTAACTTAAGCTGAATTGAAATTACTATTTTACCTTCATATTAAAGAGAAATATTTTTCTAAAGTTAATGTGCTTATTTAGTACATAAACAAAACTTGAGCAGGACTATTTTCATCTAATGGTTATTATTTCCACAAGCAGACAAAACCACTGTCGACTAACTTTAGCTTTTACTTGTGTAAAAGCTAAAGTGAAATATGATTCAGCCACTGGCTGCGTTTTTATACAAATGTGTGCAAAACTTTAATATTCCTCTAATAAGAAACACAATAAAAATCACTTGTGAATAGGTTTGTTTATCCAATAAGTCATTATCGTGCCGTCATCCTCCAACCACTTCCTGATGTTGTCTTTTTCTTCGTAGTTTGCACCAGTGGCAACATCCGGTTGTTGATCAAATGCCTCGTGTAATGCAAAAAAAAAGTGTTCCTATTACAGTTTTGCACTATAAACCAGTTTTGATACAGCTGGAAACCACTTTGTACTACTGGAAAAATGTTTTATTAAAAAAAACTAGTTTTTTTCCTCCCCCAGAGAACATGCGCTACCAACCCTGATGGTAGAGATTCTAGGGCAGTCCAACAGCGACTCACTGTGTTTTTCAGCTAACAGTGTTAAAAGTTACAAAAATTTGGAAAAGCAAGGCAGGCATTATAATTAATAGTGAGGGCAGTGGGAAGGTGCAGGGATGGCACAATTGGTGCACAACTCCTCCTGCCCAGTTCAATAGTTGATGCATTTAACCGTCGCTGTCTTTACTGTCACTGGTCTATAAAAAACTCTGTTCAAAATAAACAACAGGAAGCCTGGTTGGGTGCCATTATAATGATATGTTCAACTAAAATGACCATATAATTTAAGAAGGTATCCATTTGCTGTCCTGTGTGACTCACCTGTTTGATGGCGTACAACAGTTTCCCGTAGCAGTAGACGATCACCAGGAAAGGTCCGATGAGGCAGAACACAAACAGGCAGATGATGTAAGATATGTTATTCGCCGTCTTCGCTGTCCAGTCGACTGAGCAGGTGGTTCCGGGGCCCTCTGGACCGTAGTGGCTCCAGCCAAAGAGCGGTGGAAGGGTCCATAAGAGAGAGTAGATCCAGGACAAAAGGATGCCCAGGGAGGTCTTGCGGTAGTTAGAGGAGTCGGCCTCGGTCGGGGTTACCATGGTGCTGTAGCGCTCATAGGACAGGACAGCCAAGGAAATCAGGGACACGATGCCTACAGGACACAGAAAGGTTACATACGTTTATTTTAAAATGCACTCTCACCATGGCAAGAAAACAAAAATCTTAAGTATTTTTGTCAAGTTTCTACTCCAAATATCTTAGGGTGTACTCACACTAACCCTATTCAGTCCACTTTAATCGAACTCTACTTCATTTGCCTAGAAAGTTTGGTTTGTTTGGGGAGGTGTCAATGCACAATCGAACTCTGAGAGCAATCCACAAAAAAAAGAAGTGCACTGAAGCAAATTACAACTATTGTTCACTTTCTACGAATCGCCTTACCAACCAATACAAACATTGAATTGGATCATAACTTATAGTGCCTGATACTAGCATGAGAAATACCTTGTTTTTTTGTTGTTTTTTTTACCAAAGACAAAAGAAATCCTCCAAATGCTAAAATCTGACACTACTTCATTTTTGCTTAGAAGTTCCACTCTGTATCTCTTTCTGAGGTTTTAATGTTTACTTCATTAGTTTTTGTTGCAGCGCCACCACAGGATAGGAGGTGAGCAGGTTTTTCGGGTTGTTTGTGTGAAACTTAACCACACCAGCTGAAAATGATGCAATTTGGGTCCCAATTGTAACCCGACAGTACCGAATTATCAGAGGTGAAAACACCCAGAGTTGAAACCAGATGAAACAAATCCACAAGTAACTTTTCAGTAAGATGTAGGAGCTTCTTTAAAGTCAATAATTTCTTAATATTGATGTAAAATTACTAGCTCCACGCAGGGGATATTGATGCCTTGCTATAAGTTAAATAACCTCATGATGGAACTAGCATTTTTATCATCAATATTAAGGACTTGTTGATAAATAATCGCCTATATTGTGAAGAAGTTGTAGGTTCATTTAGTCTTATTTCATGTGTACTAAGATATTTTCTCTAGAAACTAGACTAAAAATTTTTGGTCCGATTTTGTGTTTTAGCATTGAAGACGGACGTAGATAAACTTCAGACAAACGGCGTGCAACGGAAAACAAACGCATTGGACCGGCAGACACGTTTTTGTTCAATTGGATCATAAACTGGAGTCTGAATCGCACTGCATGTTCAAGTGCATATCCTCCCACTGCCTTGAAAAGACTTCACAGCTCTCTCTGAAATAATAATAAAAAAAATAGAAAAAACACGGGATTCATGATGTTTCTTTTAAATTGAGTGTGCGGAACGTTTCTAACAGGCCGGCATTTTTTGTTCATTTTCTGCTGTCTGCACCGGATCCCAGTTGTTGTGAAACGGACAAAAACAACAACCTGAGCTGTCTCTTGTAGGAGCTCGTCAAAAACAACACGTTGTAAAGGCTTTAATGTCTTTTTTTGATCGCTCGGTGAACATCTTCATTGTGCCTTTTCTGGCTTTCTCCACGTCTCTATTGCATTGTGGTTCTGACACTGAAGAGCGAGGGCACCGAGTGTTTGCGCCAGTCCTTTGGCCTTTTCATCCTGCCTGCTATTTGTTTTGAAGCTATAATGACCCACCGGGCTGTCAGGAAAGCCCATTGATTTTCAATGGCAGCGAAGGAGACTTAAAGCGGGAGCACCTCTACGAAGGCCTTCTGCCGGACACTCAGCACAAAAGGGGGCAGAGGAAAATAACAGGGAGCCATTACAATGAGATGGAAACAAATTTCAGTTCACCTGTTAAAGTGGTAACGATCTGCCATCATTCATATTTTGTCACATGACGGCCTCAAGCTTAGGACGTTTTCACACCTGATAGTCCAGTGAGCTCGATTTGACCTGGGACCAAAATCGCAACATTTGCCACATTTCCACCTGGTGTGTTCCCTTTCACACTGCACCGTGTCAAACAATCCTAACTAACTGAAAAGCCTATTCACCTCCTTACCTGTGGTGGCGCTGCACCGAGAATCACCGAGAAAAATTTATGAAAAAACTCGGCATGAGCGTAACTTCAACCAAATTTTAGTGGTTGTAGGATTTTTGTTGTTGTCTTGCATTAGATTCTGCTGTTTGTTTTGGTTGTATTTACCCAGAATGCCCAGCGCTATAGTTCTCTTCCTGTTGTAAGAGTGGTTTCTGGTCAGCTTTTATTCACATGTGCATTCAAACTGTACCGGCGTTAACGTCAACCAAACGGAGCTTATAGGCAGCCCGGTGTTTGCTGTCTTGGTCCGTGTCAGAATTCGACTGCGCGTTCACACCTCCCCAAACGATCTGGACTTTCCGGCAATAGATTTTATTTAGGCATACGACAGTGACGAGGGATTGAAACAAATCTACACCAAACTCTTCAGAGTTTCATCTATGAAAAATCTCACTGCCAAAGTACAAAGTCATTCAGAGTAGGTTTGGTCTACTTTCTAATGCAAATATGTTTGTACACTTGAAATAAGACAAAACTAAAGTACGACTAACTTTTCAGCAAAATGTGAGAGCTTGTTTTGTGTCAGTAATTCCCCAATACTAATGAAAATGGACTAGTTCCTTTATTTAACTTAAATCGATGTATTGTTTTCCTTCCACCAACTACTACAACGCTTTATGTTGGTCAGGCACAGACATTTGTGTTGTAGATGAAACAATTGCGGCACAATAAAGGAAAATTTAATATTTTTATTGCATCGTGGAAAAAAAACGACCAGCATGGCAGCGGCACAGTTGCGCTGGCCTGTTTGCTCTCTTGTATTAAACTCGTGTTGTTTTTTCCTCTATTGCTCGTATTAGTAAAGTTTCCGTGGAAGCAAAGAGTCAACACAGCTTCAGAAACGAGCTTCTGTTTGATCTGCCATGACTCGTTGCAAGCGGCTTGAAATCTGTTTGAGACGTAACATGTTTTTGATGCCCTGCCAGTTTTTTTCCTTTGTTAAAAACGATAATTATTCAAAATGCATACAGTTGGAGAGTCCTCTGCCGTTTCCTCTCCGCACTCAGTCAGGTGTGAAATAAGACAACGGCAGAAGTGTCCGGCTGCAGCGCACGGACAAGCCCGTGTCTTCCCCAAACTGGAGACTTAGCGGGAGTGTCAATAGCTGAGTGTCATCGCTAATTATGAGAGTACCGCCGACACAAAAATCACTTGAGTGTTGGGTTATAAACCATTTCTTTGGAGAATAGTCTGGTGACCCTGTCAGAGAAATCTTCTGTAACTTTTGGGAAAATAGAAAAGTTCTGAAATGTGTTTCCTTTAGTGTGGCTGAAGAATAATGATATCAGATGGGAAGTTTTAGAAAACTTTAAAAACCAGCCCCTCATTCTACGCTTCACTTCATCTGGACTCTCAGATATTGAGAAATAATTGTTTCCTAAAGGCTCTGTTAAAGGTTTAATCAATTGTTGATGATTTTTTTCACTCGCTAACATTTAGCCGTGATGTTTGCAATGCGCCATATCGATGGTAAAAGAAGCTTCGCTAAGGAGCATTCCAGAAATTGCACGTACAGTAAAACGACCATCCGCGTAAGGATCAAAACGTCTTAAACAGACCTGAAACAATTCATCAGATTAATCGTGAAGAATCGATTATTCATATCATTGTGAACTAATTTAGTCATTTCTTAATCGAAAGCCCCAGAACAGCGAAAACTGTAATTAATCCAAAACTATACGAAATAGACGTTTTGCATTTAAGCTTTAGAGCTATTTTGACTGTAAACATGTTCTAACCACAACTCCTCCAGTCGCATAGTTTTTAAGCTTCATCCTGGTTTAAACTCGGTTTCAAAAAATTATTGCATGCCACCTTTTGCTAGTCGATTATTAGTCAGTTAGTACAAAATAAAATAAACACTTTAGCCCCTCGGTGTAGTGATGCTAAGTCAAGCAGAAATGCTGGACCTTCCTTTGCTACAAATGACCAATTTAATAGTTTACTTGTGTCTTTCATTTCAAATATTGTACAAAAGAAAGACTTAAGTTGTTAGATGAAAAGTCTAAAATGTGATAGTCCTTTTTACATGAATAATGGGAACTCTTCAGTTTCTAAAACGTGTTCTCTCAGCTGGCTACGATGAATATTTTCACTCTTTAGGATGTCATCATGTCTCTGGTTACGCAGCAGGCTACGTGGGAGACAAAAGCACTTTTATCCAAGGGAATGTGATGTGGTTGTGAAAGGCAACACTCCCACTAAATGAGATGCAGCAGTGGAATCGTAGGACGTCTTATTGTTTTGCGGCGTGATGTTTAAGTTGTTAAACATCACGGCTGACTCTTTCTAGAACTGCTCCAGTCGCCGTGCCTGTGCGTCTTCATGGCACCGACTTAGAAGAAGTGTTGATCCAGCCGATGGCGGTTCGATGGGAGAACACAAGACCGAGGAAAGACGTGATTGTTCTGGACGTCTCACGCCGGCCTCTTTTCCTGAGCCATCACAGGTGCATTCATCAATATGAACGCGTTTGAACGTTTGCGATTGTTTGGCACACAAATCCAGCATTATTCTCACTCAAACACTTTTCGTTACAGGTGCAGAAAAAAAAACGGTTCCGTAGAAAAGTGCAAATTCCTGGTCCTGGGAATTCTGAATCAATTCAAAACATCCTACGTCACTGCCGCTCCGATTTGAGAGTGTGCTGCATTACGCATCCACTCACAGCGTAGAAGGCCGTCTCTCCAACTGTATGCATTTTGAATAATTATCGTTTTTAACAAAGGAAAAAAACAGGCAGCTAACCTAACACTGGGGATCTAAGACGCATCATTTGACGCCCAAACCTATTTTGTTTCAGTATGGAAATTGATGCATCATGGAACCTTAAGGAAGAGTTTTAAACAAATGTACTTGTTTGCACTGTATTCCTCTTGTTGGTCAGATCATTTAACCAGGATCTCAAGAATGTCAAAATAGAAAAACTAGTTCCTGTATGAGAGATCATTTCTGAATCAAATAGTGACACTAACAGTCAGACTCAAATCCGACTCTGAAAGATTTGCATCTCTACGCTCCACTCCATTTTCTTTTTCTAAAACACATTTCATTTCTTCCTGCCCAGCTTGTCATTCTGGCTGCTCTGCCAGCGCGCT